AGCCGCGGGAATAACTCAAAGTGAGTTGAAACTTGCAGGCGGTTTGAGTGCGAGAAGTTGCTTGTCACACTCGTGACATGGACGCGTTGAGCTGGACGTTGAACCAAGCGTTGAACTTTGAAGTCAAGCATGGAGAGTGTCAAAGAATAATTTATTTGAGGTCGGAATACAGTGGTTGGGGTACCTATTACGGACCGTCGACATACCGACAGGCATAGGGATTGCGTGGCGCATCCGAAGCCCAGAGTGGTTCAACTCGGCTTGCATCGAGCGAGAGGTAATGTTGGGGAGCTGAGAAATCTGCACAGAAGTTCAATGAAAAGGACGAATCTCTCGCGACAGCAGACATACCTGGGCGTTATTTTGCATACGTACACAATGAACAGGACATGTATCTAACCGCGTGTCTTCAATAAACTGTCTTGTCGCAGTGTAAGCATGTGGATGGCACGAAGAAGAGCACGTACGAGACAGGTGCGCGCGGATTATTGAAACGCTTGAGGCCGTCGAATCGACACCGTCTCACAGGAGCTGCGAGTCTTTGCCATCGAGAATAAAAATCACTTTGTCTGTGCAGGGACCGGGCGGGGATCTTGAACTGGGTGGTGTACTGGGTGGTGTTCTGAGCCATGGTCACAATGCGACCATCGCCGTTGAGGTCACGCACGCTGTGGTAGGTAAGCAGAGGTATGGATGGGAAGAGAGTCGGCGCACCGTCTGTTGAGGTCGACGTCGGCCTTTTTGCGGACGAGATTGGAGTATCAGCGACCAGATCCGGGTGTACCTGATTTTCGGCCTTGTCTGTGTCGAGCAGACGCAGGATTTGCTGTGAGATGAGTGTGGGAATGGGCAGGCGAAGCCGGGGTATACGACGTACTTGAATAGATGGCGGGCCGCGCGTGTGGAGGTGACGGGTGTATTTAAGACTGTGGCAGGCGCGCAGCAGCCGCGCCAGCCAGCCCAGTGCAGGGGGCGATGGGGACACGTCGGAATACCGTCGATGTGGCGCGGGGGGTCGCAAATTTGCCGCGGTGGCACCGGCAGAAGGGGCCAGGGGTTGTGGCGAGCGTGCAAAACTCGCCGCGTGGTGCGGATGGAAGGTGGGCGGAGGCACCCAAACTGCCGGGCGAGATGTTGGCGGTGGAGGAGCGGCCACGGCGTTCGCTTGGCGCCGTGGGGCGGACTCGTCGTCGTTGGAGAATGAGTCCGTAGGGCCATTATTGATGGAAATACCTCCGGGCATCTTGCGTGAAAAGGGAGGCCCCTGGATGGTATTGCACGACCCAGTGGCAGTGGGTGAGGTTAGAGGACCCTTGGTCTTAGGTTGCTCAGCTGAAGACCCGAGATGACGCGAGTCGACGCTGAAATCGGTGTGCAACAAGAGGTTGCTGTGGCTGCGTGCTTGTTGCTCGATTCAAGCCGAAGCGCGGGAGTATCGATAAACGAGGGTTTCTTGAGGTATTGCTGGGGTTCAGAGGTAAAGAGTGCCCGAAGAGGAGGAGGGACGTGGGGGAAGAGGACAGCAAGCGTGTGAAGAGCCTTGCCCAAAAAAGTACATGATCCATGCCCAAATCGGGCGATTATGTATCCCAGGGCACTGCACTAGAGCCTGCGGAGATGTCCATCTATCCTTCACAGGCTTCAGCATTCCACGCGTCATCCCCTCGATCCCGTTTTCCGACGCCGACTTGAGTTTCTTGTTTTTTGTGGTCCATCGACAGATCCTCACGTACTGTAGAGAAGAGAAACCCAATTGACGAAACACGGCGCGACTTCGAACCGTGGGAAGAAGGTGGGTTCGGTCTTCAAGCTGTTCTTTTTATCTAGTGGTGGATCAGAAAAAGGTTTTTGGACGGCGTGGGATGCAGGGAGGGGAGTCGAACCCGGCTCCGCTGCTTCAAGAGGACACCCAGCGGTGCCTGTCGTTCATTAGTGGCACCAGGTCCGCCTTATACGCTCGAGTAGGTCCTTGCCCTGAGATAGGACGCAGAATGGCCTGATACTGACACCACCAGCCACAGTCAGCCCATGTACACCGAAGGAGGAACTTAAAGTCCGGAAACTGGGTCCAGCCTTTTCTTGATTGGTGACTCTATATTATCGCGTAGATAGGTAAACAAATCAGCGCCCTTCCAGGGCAAGTTGCATCAGAGCCACGATCCAATCGAAGTTGAGGAATACACCTAAGCCCTCGCCCACCCTTCACACTTCAACTTGAAGCTCCATCGCCGCTTTCTCCTCCGCAACAAGTGTGGCGATCTTCAAATCCATGCACGGCGCAAACTTGCTGTGCTTGCGGATACGAGCGCCGTACTTGTGGAATAGGAACGGCGAGGGCGCGAGGAGGAGGCCGAGGACGCCGAGAACGGTGGCGGCCCAGTTGACACCGAGCTAGAAATGGGAATACGGCAAGGTGAGTACTTGGTAAAATATACAATGCGAAGCACAGGAGGGGCACATGCCTTGTTGAACATCTGGACGGTGAACAGCGGGAACGCAGCGGCGACGATGGAGCGGAAGAACGTGTTCGCGGCAAAGGCCGAGGCGGAGTGGACCCTTTCATAGTAAAGGTTGAACGCTGATCAATAAACAGAAAAGAAAAAACGAGCTTACAGATAGGTATCCACCAGGTAGCTCAAGAAGCTAATGAACACCATGCTAATGCTAACTCCCACCAGCACCGTGCTCAGCGCCGGGACGTACCAGGGCACGCCCGGGTACTGCCCCGTCCAGCCGAGGCAGAAGATCCCCACGACAAAGACGCACCCGCCAACCTTGCTCCCGCGCAGCCGCTCCTCGGGCGGCGGGAACCCGCGCCAAGCGCGGATGAGCGCCGGATAGTCGCGCGAGAGGTACATATTCAGCATGGCGCCGAGGGTGGTGCCGACGCCGACGCCGATGAATACGAGGCCGGATTGTGAGATGGTGAAACCGCGTTTGAGGATGAAGATGATTGGGAGGGCTGCGAGTACTAGAGCGGACGTTGGGTTAGTTTGGGACTCAGGCAGCGATGAGGGCGAGGGTGTGATACATACGGCAGTATAGGACGCCGTAGATGAGCGAGAGATATACGGTAGTGAGCGCGAGGATGGGCTCGCCTGCGAGCATTTTGAAGGGGCGTAGGACGGAGCGGTGGATGATGCCCGCGGGGGACCAATCCTCCCTCTCATGCGGCGCGAACAGGTGCTTCGTCCCCACTGGGTCGGTCTTGCGCCTGGCCTTAAGCTAAACCAAAGGTCAGTAATCGGTCTGAGCTTGGACGAAAGTGAGGCCTACCTTCTTGAGGAGGATGACAGGCGCATACGTCTCCGGGAGGGTGAGAATCATGAAGACGGTGCAGACGCCGGAGAAGATGAGCATGACCCAGAAGATCCAGCGCCATCCGAGGGTGCTTTCGACGATGCTGCAACGCAGAATGTCAATGCGAGCGGAGAAAAGAAGACTTGGAGGGAAACTTGCAAACCGGAGACGATGGCACCCAGGACTGTAGAATGGTTCATGTGCGGTTGGAGAAACGCTCGAAAGATACTCACCGGGACCAAGGAAGACACTGGCGGCGAACAAACTTGCAGCAATGCCTCGTTTCTCAGCGGTGAAGATATCTGCGACCATACCTAGTACTCATGATAAACGGAACGAGAAAATCAGAGGTAAAGGAAGAACTCACCACCCGAAAGAACAAGAGGCGCGACTCCGAAGAGCCCAGACAGAAATCGGGTAATCAACAAGGTCTGCATGTTTTGCGCGAAAGTTTGACCGAGGTGGAGAATCGTGTAGATGGACGATGAAAAAACGAGAGTGGGGCGTCGACCGACGAGTTCGCTGCCAGGCCCCCAAAGAAGTGGCTGCGGAATGTAAGTACTACCACGCTTAAGCCTTCGGCTGATTCATGTACATACCCCCAAGCCATAGCCTAGTAGGAAAATGCTGGTCGTGAGGTACGAAACCTCGGCAGACACGTCGAATGCTTCCACGATGAAGAATGTCGCGGCACTTGGGGCGGAGGAGGCGAATGTCCTAGAGCGAATATAAATATCTCTTCGACGGCCACGCAAAGAGACTGTACTCACACATTGAGAGTGAGCAGCACGCAGTTGAGGGTGATAAGCCACTTGGTGCTATCCGCGAAATTTTGTGGGTTGTCCGGGTCGGCGGGACCATCCCAGGTGAATTCCATGATCGACGACACTGGGTGGGCGACGAGGGTTGTCGTAGACGAGGGTTGGGAAGTCATTTGCGGCATGATCATGAGGGGGAAGTTCCAGTGGCATGGAGGATGGGTGCGCTTTTTCAAGTGGTCACGGTGTTATGGCCACCGTTCATTCGAAACGTGCGCCCGGGGAGCCCCGCCTCTCCCAAACCCGCGCCCGCAGCCTGAGCTCGCTGTTCACCGTCCCGTCGACGGGCACGGCCGTCATTTTGACAAAGCCCGTCCCGTCACCGTGTCCGCGAGTTTCTCAGGAGCCTGCACGGGAAGGGACGGACAACGGGACGGTTGTCGCGGGTAGACGGACGGTGACTGACGCATAGCAATAGACGAAACGCTCAATATCAGCAATTAGAACATGATTTTGGAGAAGCAGCGACACGGATTCGGTTTCGAGGGAGGACGCGGTGCTGGGCTTGAGGAGCGCATGAGAGCGCAGGACGTTGAGTGACCGAGATTGATGCGGAGATGTGATTTGTGAAGGGTGAAGAGGGTGACGTTATGTTCGACTTTTTGGTTGAATCTTTGAATGTTGAGTTTGGGAAGGGCCCGGAGGGTGTGTCAATCTCTCATTTCTGGTTCACCGCATAAAGTCTACGCCTTTGAAAGGGCCAGAAAAAAATAGACGCTGCGGGCGAATGCAGATGTATTCTCCTCAATTGAACCGTGGGAACTTAAGGGTAGTTGAATTGTCAACCTGTTCTTTTTTATTCCTCTGCATGAAACCCACCTCGGCTAGGCCACCAAACCTTCCCTTGCGAAATATAAAAACCCTTGGGAAATAGAGGACTTATGTAGACACGGGGAGTCGAACCCCGTTCGGCTGCTTCACGAGGAGTTATACAAATTATTGAATGCAGCGGTGCGCCATGCACCACATCCACTTTACACGCCTAGATAGGGTGTCGTCCATCCGACCGTTTCCACTACTTGAAGCTTGAAGGACGCTGACAACGCAGCGAAAACTTGTTCTTGTCCACCCAAGGGACGGCAGGGAATCGAACCCAAGCAGCTGTAACTGGAGTTATAACCGTTACCGTCGTTGCCTGGATAAACTATTCGCAGCGGTGCGCCGCGCACCACGTCCCCTTCTACAATCCCGCAAGATTCGAATTCCAACCGGAGTGCTCCAGATGGAATGTAATTATTCATAATTGAATCTACTGTAATATTTCGTTCAAATCGACAGTCACCCCCTTGTCGATCACGAATATTGGTCGAGGGAACGTGTCACGACGGCCGATGTCGAATAGGTCTGAGGGTTTGTCGCCCAGCAAAAAATTCCCGTTGGACGGGGAACATAATTTTTCTGGGCTCCTTCCATACTAGTTAGTAGTGGTCATAAATTCACTCATTCTGCTATTTTTTTGGCCCAAAAGTACCTCTCCGAACTCAAACTTCCACTGTGTGATTTAGTTTCTTGGTTCAAATTGCATTTCCGAGGAAGCAAACCAAAAATTGTGATTTGTGTTCAACCAAGCAGCCCAAATATTGTGCAGATGTCCAGGAGCCAAGATGGGACCTAGTTGTATGATTTTAGGCCCTTACCGAAATTTTTCTGCCGTCACGCACCTTTGAGGGCGATGTCGAAGTGTCGAATTGGTTCAAATCGTCACGCGTCACCCCCGGGTTCGATTTGAACGAAATATTACAGTATTGAAGGTCGTGATAGTGCTTTGGTAGGGTTGCTCTACTCTAGTCCGTGCGTGAAGGAAGGGTGGGATGTGTATGTATTGTTGAGCCGAAGTCAGGGTCGTCATTTGAGTAGGGCGTCGATGATTCACACGGTTCAAGTTGAACCAACCTTCTGTTGGCCCACTACTTATACGACACAGCCTGATGGCCCGACGACGCCTGAACCTTTGTCCATTTTCTTTACATCTCGGCCTGTGTTCCTGCAGCCCGAACCCCAACTCTTTTTCGTAGATATCGGGGCTTTCAAGACCGCAGACAGGATATTCTGAGGGGCAGAAAACGGGCTAAGATTCCCGGTCAATCCAGTCTGTATATATCTTACACCGAGTAATGCGTCGCGAACTCAATCGGTGCGGGATGTCGAGAATGTGAGCGCATTAGTACTGTTCAGCGAGGTCGGGTCGAGTCCTACGGGGACTAGAGGTTGCCTTCTGATTTATGGGCCCGTAGTTGAACCAAAACTTCAACCGTGGGAAAATCTACTGGGGGGGGTTGATTTCTGGTGTTATGTATTCAACTGTCTTTGAAGTTGCAGTTCGGCCTTCCTTCTGAGCTTCTAGTACTTCAGCACTCCAGCTTTTGCCATCTTACTGCGTCTCTGTGCTGATCCTGCATCCTAAGCCCGAACCTTTTCGCAATTATTTCAAAACCTTCACAGTTGATTTGATGCCGCGTCACAGCACGTTTACGACGCTGCCCCGGCCAGTTGGTTTGGTATCAAGACGTATAATTGGAAACGATAAAGACATGGAAACGACCGGACTCGTGGGGAAGTTGATTGTAATGATGTAAATCGGGAGAGCAAAGGTCCGTGTCCGACGAGAGCCCACGAACAACATAACAGTTTCTCTACGAGTGATTCACCCTGGTATCATCGTTGGTTAAAGTCCATAAAGCGCCCCAAAAATGTCAACTCACTGGGCGAACCACTGCTGGTTGCTCGCAAGGCACAGCCCACCATGAGCGTTTTGCGTCGCCTGGCAGTTCGGTGCGATGAAGTTGACCAGGCTGGACTGTTTCACACCAGTGTATATCAACGGGAATACACACGTGTGGTTGGAAGAGAAGTCGTACCCAGTCACTGCGGCAGTATTCGATCGGGACGGTGTCCTGGTTGACAAAGAAGGTCAGGCAGGTGGCGTATTGCATGACCACGGTGTTATTGGTTCCCTGTGTGGAAAAGTGCTCAGTAATGGAACAGCCAGTTGGAGGTGAATGATAATCACCGTGCCGACGGTGAAGAGCGGTCCTGGTGAAGTTGTAAGGCGCAAGCTCGAGTCAGAGGTGAGGCAATGGCCGAAACCCACCGATGTTCTGGCCGTCGAAAAGGAGGGCGTCCGCAATGACGGCGCAATCGCTCGGGTTGGGTCCCCCACCCGACGGGGTGAAGCAGCTTGTGTTGCCTAGTGCAAAAGTCAATCGAAGAATATTACGCAGGAACGGGTTTCCGTACATTGATTCCCGCAGACGTCGACGGGCGCGGTCTGCCGAGTCTCCAGCGCCTTGACCTGGGAGCCGTACTTGGGGCAGGTGGCGTACTGCACGCGGACGTTCTTGTCTGCGCCGATGAAGGCTTCGGAGAGCGTCACTTGGCCGTCGCAGACTGTCCTACTCGTGAGTCGTCGACGCGGATGTAAGGACGTATTGTCTGCAACTGACCGTCTCCAGCGGCCCGGGGGACGAGCGCGGCACTGGCGGAAAGTAGGAGGGCAGCGGGAATGAGAGCGAAAGACCACATTGTTGGAATAATGCACACACCTTGAGGGTGGCGGAATTTATAGCACAGCGGGAAAGAGTCGTCGGGTTTGGGAGGCCGTGTTCAAGTTATTTCGGGGGCGGTCAGCGGACTCAGATGCCCGGTTCATTCAAATATGTTGGAGTAATTTACCTCAGTCTCTCACCAGCGCGATCAAGCATGCGGACATGAGACAAGTACTTCCCGTTCTTACGCACCTGACGCTTCATCTTGACGACCAAGTTGAACACTGAAGCTGAAACCATTGTTATGATACTTTTCGTCTCGAACATGTAAATTAGTACTAGTAACAAGCGAGTGGGTGGATAGCAAAGTCGATAACTTAACGAATAGAATAAAAGTCCTTCCCCCCATCCCAATCTAATCAGAATACATGGTGTGGTGTCCGGTCGAGAACGACGCGCGCGGAGCCGTCGCGTCCTCGCGCAGCTTCACCGGCGCGTACGCAGCCTCGGACCCCGCACGCGTTGTGGATCTCGCCGCCCGCCCGCTGCGCACAAAGTTCATCACGCTGAAGAACGCGACCACGAGCAGGAGGATGACGTTCGCCCCCAGCAAACCAATAATAACCGGCGCGTACGTGTCCCTGTCGACGAAGCTGCCCAGGCCCGCGTTGGAGTTGTTGGAGGTCGTGTTGTCGACGTCGGCGAGGTCCACGGCGACCTTACCCTTGGCGTCGACGGCGGCGGGGGAGTGCGCAGCCTTGATCAAATCCGCGGCCTTCTCCGCAACTCCGTACAGCGTCGAGCTCAGATGCGCGCTAATCTGCAGCGGCACGACAGACGCGTCCACCACGCGCACGTTTGCGGTATCGTACACGCGCAGCTGCGCGTCGACCACGCCGCCCAGGTCGCGCCGCATCATCGCGGCCGTGCCGATTGGGTGCGCGACGGAGGCGAAGCCGTTCTTGATCCATTTCTGCCAGGCGGCGTCGGAGCCGCGCGCGGCGTTGTCGGGGACGTCAGAACCGGGGATGGTCTCGCCGGTTGAGAGGGAGCTGCGGGGGCGGGATTTAGAATTAGGGGAAGGGAAGGGAAGGAAGGAAGGAAGTAGGACAACGACGAACCTAAGAGGCGCGCTGGTGAGGATACGGCGCGCGAGGCGCGCACCGGCAACTTGCATATCCAGGTCCATCCCGACGCTAAAGTAGTTCACCTTGATGGTCGGGTACGTGAAGGGATCCGTGGACTGGTTGCTCGGAGATTAGATAGAGGTAGAGAAGAGTTCGAGAAAGCTGGGACGGACAGTAATTTTCACGCTTCCACGGCTGAAGGGGAGGAGCTGCCACATGTCGATCCCGAGGGGACTGCGATTCGTTGTTCGCGTCAATACATCTGCAGAAAAAGGCAGGGAAAATAACTAGGAGAAACGCACGCAGGAAACCCGGAATCAAAGAACAGCTCGACGACTGGGGCATTGTGGTCGATAATAAGGTCCGCCTGGACTTGGAAAATCTCCTGCAGCGCCGCGGCGGACAGCGCCGACCCGGCTTGGGAAGTCGCCCACGCGGAGATGTTGCCCTGGATCTGCGAGACCTTGGTGCTGGCGGCGGAGCCGAAGAGCTGGTAGATGTTCGGGTACGCGATGGCGTCCGACGGCCCTTGACCACCGTTGTCGAACCCGTTACCGCCCGCGCCGAGGGAGTTCATAGTCTGTTCCTGCAAATTCTTGCCGACGGTCGGTAGGTTGACTTGCGTCGAAATTCCGAGGGGCTTGAGCACGGCGGGGTCGCCGATGCCGGAGAGTTGGAGGAGTTGGGGCGTCTGGAATCCGGTTAACAATTCTACTGGAAAAGACAGCGACGGCCGAGCGAACCTGGATGGCGCCGGCGGCGATGATGACCTCCCGGCGTGCATGCGCAGTGTAGCGCGTATCGGCCTTGGTCGAGTACGCATATTCAACACCGGACGCGGTCAGGGGGAGGCTGCCCGGGTTGGACCATTGGATTTTGGTTACCTGTGTAGTTCAAGTCGTCAAGTCAGAATTTATATACTATTTCGGTGGAAGAAGAGAATGCAGGGACGCAAACGTACGATGTGCTTCGCCAGGGTAACCCAGTTGGTGCGCGCACTTTCGACGGGGGTGAGGTAGGCCTCGACGGAGGAGGAGCGGTGGTCGGAGCGGTGCCAGTCGAGGGTCTGCAACAAAAAACGGAGTCACAGTCAGAACTCTTGGGATATACCGACCTGGAAGCGAGGCGGAAGGACGTACGACGGGAGTGATGGAGACGCAGTTGGGCGTGCCGCCGTTGAGGTCTTTAAAGTGGCTGATGCCTAAAGGGAATTTGAGGACCGCCGCCTCAAATCGAGGGATGGAACGCACCAGTGAGGCCGACGATCGTGTTGACAAAGGCGGACTGCTGCGGGCCACCGTACATTCCATCGGGGTAGGTTACCTGGACGGGACCGCTGGTGCCGTGGTAAGACGCAATCG